TGGATTTCCGAGATTAGTGAGGCTGCAGCTCTCTGTGGTTATAGTACCTAGTGTGTTCTACTGAGCTTGTGGTTGTTGTTACCATTGCATATTGCAGCCCAGAGAGAATGGTTATAGTTACTGTTGGGTCCTCAGGAAAGTCTCGATGCATTTTTGTGTAGAAAAGTATATCGTGACGTGCCCGACAACCTAGTATATACTGCTGGTATTTAAAACACCCGTGAGTCCTGGCCCCAGTCCTGCTGTGGTTCAGGGAATGTAGAAACAGGACGCTTCAGGAGGTGCTCTGGCCCTTGAGAACCGTAAATACCTGGTAAAACATGGCTTTTCCCCCTAGATGGACGGTTTCCAAAGGCACTTCGACTCCCAAGTCATCACTTACGGAAAACAGGTCATCATCAATCTGGTACGTTTCCTCCCACTTCCCTGAGAAGAACGAAGCCAGACTTAGTTACCCTTTCTTTAGCATAACTGAGATTTTAACCACCTCTAAGCGTGCAGTTCCGTGCATTACGTGTGTCATGTTTGCAGTTGTCACCGCAGTCCGTCTCCACAGCTTTCCCTCAGACCACACGGACCCTGCCATAGCAACCCATCCCGCTCCCTGCTCTGCCTCTGCTCCTGGTGCTTCCGACCCTGTTTCTCTTCACTCGCCTCTTGTGGCCCCACACAAGTGAAATCGCTCACGCTCGCCTTTCTGCGTCCATCCCTTCATGGACACCCACGTCTCCCCATTCCCTTCTGTCGTCTTTAGTTCTTTCCAGCAAGGTTTTGTCGTTTTCAGTGTACACATTCCTTTTAAAGTATTTATTTAATGCCATTTGATGTTATTTTTTAATTTGATCAGAGAGAGAGAAAGGGAAAGCAAGAAAGTAAGCTGCTAGGTCCAGGACTCAAACCTCAGTCAGTCGTGTGGGAATCCAGCACCTTTAACCCCCAGGCCTCCTGCCGGCCCCTAGTATACACACTTTTAAGAAGTTTTTGATCGTTTTTTCCTTCAGATAGTGTCTTTGCCCATTTTTCTCTCTTCTCTGGAACTCCCATGGTACACATATTGTCTGCCTGGGGTTTCAGTCATCCAGTAGGGTCTACCCGCTGTTTTCACTTTTGTAATACCTCAGACTTGAGTTTTTCAATTTTTTGTTCATTGATCTTTTTTTACTTTTTTTTTTTTTTTTTTTTTTTTTTTGGCAGTGCTTCTTTGCACTCACTGGAGAGAAAGAGGGAAAATGAGAAAGCGCATCCCATGGGGGATGGTCATGCCACAATCCCTTCTTCTCTGTTTTTTCCTTCTTTCAGGGTTTTAGGGATGCGTACACACATGTCCAGAGTGTTTCTCAAGCCACTGGGTCTAGGATTCGAACCGTGCAACTGGCCATGTGAGATTCAACTGCCTTCACCACCACACCACTGGCTGACCCACAATGATATTTTTTCCTGTTCAGTCTAATCTGCTGATGAACTCTATAAATTTTTTCTTTCAGTTATACTATACAGCTCTAGACTTTTTGTTTGTTTGTTTTTTTGATTTTTAAACTTTTAACATGTTTTTAATTTATTTAAATTTGACCAGAGAGAGACAGAGAGAAAGTGAGAAAGCAAGCTGCCAGGTCCAGGACTCAAACTGCAGTTGGCCATGTGGGAGTCCAGTGCCCTTAACCACCATGCCACCTGCCAGCCCCGTTTGCTTCCTTTTAATAATTTCTCTTTGTCGATATTATTGTTTTATTTATACTTTTTTTTCATGATTTCCTTTAGGTCTTTGTCGGTATTGTTTCTCCTTAGCTCTTTGAACACATTTTAAAGAATTATTTTAGTCTTCACCTATTAAGTCTGATATTGTGGCTTCTGGGTGATGAACCGTATTTCCTGCTTACGTCTGTTTTTTTTTTAAATATACATTCAGTTACTATAACAAGCCAGCTATGGAGGTCAGGGACTCGTCCTTCCCCAGGGTTTGCTGTTTGTATTGTTTTGTTCTTTGATTGTTCAAGACTGCTGTAATCCATTTGTTTTTGAGACGTTGGAAACTGTTACTGCAAAGACTGTTCCTTCTAGAATATGCTTGCTGAAGTCTCTGTTCTTTTATTTATGTCAGATGTTTTGACACTTTCTTTTTGAAGTTTGCATTTCTTTCATTTTTTTTTTTTATCACGAGAGACAGAGATTCACACAGGTGCCCTTGACAGGTTTTGTTGTACTGCGGTCCTCCCCCAGCCTCCAGCCAGTGAGTCGTCGGCTCGCCCAGGGCAGCCCGCATCCAAACCAGGCCTCCCGTGTGGCTCCGGCACGAGCAATGCAGCGCTGTGTGCCTCTGTGGCTGCTCTGGACAGACTGTGAATCCCAAGGGTTCAAGTAGACTAGCAACAGCAAAGAGAACAGCCGGCCTCTCGTTCCTGCAGACCGACCTTCACTGCTAGCCGGGTGCGCTTCAGGCCTGGGCTCAGTCTGGGGTGAAGTCTGAGGTCTTCTCAGGACCTTACGGGTGTGGATTTCACCTGGCTCTGTGGTGACCTGCATATCTCCTCCATATTTGTGTCTACTTTCGAATGTCCTAACTGCTTAGAGAATGTCACCCAGCTTTTCCAGGCTTTCAGTCTGTCGTGTCTCCATCCAGAAGCCCTCATCCCCGCGGCTGCTCATTTATGGCCCTCCGGTAGCCTTTATAAGCAGTGCCAGCATTCTCCCCGTTGTTCCAAGGACAGGAGGCAAGGCTGAGTGCGTTTAGTCCTCAGGCGAGAGTACATGTGCCCGGTTCTCTGCACGTAGCTCTGGGCTGTGGCTTCTAGCCCAGGGAGGGCCCTGAGAACCAGGGTACTCTGCTTCAGGCTGAGACATCCCCACTCTGGCGAGGAGGAGGAGCAACTTTCCACCTTTCCTGGGAAGGTGGTTTACTTCACTTTTTTTTAAGAGGTTTTTGTTATAGGGCATGTGTGCTTGCCAGAAAGACAGAGAGAGACACAGAGACAGAAAGCGAGAAATCACCCCCCAGGGGGGATGGCCATGCCACAATCCCTTCTCCTCCATTCTCCTCTTGGGATCTTGGGCACACATGCACCTGGACCCAGGGTCCAGGACTCGAACTGCGGTCGACTACATGGGAGTTCAGTGACATAGCCATTATGCCAGCTGCTGGTCCAGGAAGGCAGTTTTCTTGATTGGATATTTAGTTGGTGGCTCTGAACCTTCGGTTGTTTCTCAGAGCTCCTACAAAGTACAGTTTGTATCTCTGGGGGAATGAGAGCCTAGAACCTCCTGGCCTCCTGCTGTCTGACGTCACACTCTACTTTTAAATGAACAGAAAGCTGTAGTGTCCTTATCTTTTACAGGTTAACCAGAAGGGTTCAGAGAAGCCCCTCGAACAAACGTTTGCAAGCATGGTGTCTTCCTTGGGAAGTGGCATGATCAGGTACCTCACTGGAAGCCCGCTGTGTGTCTGCAGACCAGATGCGTATGTGTATGTGCGTGCAGAGCTGGGAGCTCCCTAGCCACCTGTGCTTAACTTGCTACACTGTTTTCAGAGCTACAGCAAGGCGTGTGTTATTGGCTGAGATTTTCTGTGGCATAATTTATGTTACGGAATAACTTCCCAACAGTGAACTTTCTTGGTTTTTCAAATTTGCCAGAAGGTGTTTGCACTCGACAGGGAGAGGGAGAAAGTTAACTGCTGTGGGGCACGTTTCTCCATCCTACCAGGCTTTGGGGCATGCACGGGTGCTCAGCACGTTTCTGCTTGGAAACACATGAGACTGGATTGGCACTGCCATTGGCCATGTGGGACCCGGCTCCCTGGACCAGGAGGCCACGGGCCGGCCCTCCGGGCAGGTTGGCATTTGCTTACTTCCTGATTGAAATCTGCACATCAAGGCTTTGTGTCTGAGGTGGTGAGGCTGTGGCCGCGAGGTCATGCCTGGTTTTTCGGGGTGGTTTGCTGTGGTCTCTGTGGTCCCGGCCATCTCCCAGGCAGGGAGCAGCGTCGCCGTCACGTGGTGGCCTCATCGGAGCAGTGGCTTTGTCCTCTGAGGGGGAGGCTGCCCCACACCGGGCCCTGCATGTTGAGTCAGCCCAGGAGAGCTTCCTGCGATGACACTGGGGCAGAGGGGGTGTGTGCCACGGTGCGATGTGGCCGTGGGGTTTGGGAGGCTTTCCAGCAACGTAGCTCTGAGGTGTTGGAGAGGACCGTTATACCTGCAGCAGGCTTCGGATGTACGCAAGGACAGAGTAAGACGTCCGCTCTTTCGGGAAGGGTCCAAAAGCTCTTGGAAATTCCTCCGATCCTCACTCTACCCACTTCCACCTTCCCACGGTGGAGTCTGCCCGGACACGCCGCGAGTGACTGGGGTTTCACATCGGCCACAGTCACTGCAGGAGGTCCTCAGCCTCGGGGTCTCCTGGTGGCCGACGGTCTGTCTGCTGGCTCCCATTGCAGCCCAGCTTAGACCTTTGGCCCCGACAGTTTCCTTAGGCAGGCTTTGCCTCCAGGGCTGTCCTGCGGAATTAGGAGCCTAGCAAGCAGCTAGCTTTGAGGGTTTGAGGCATGCATCCGAGTCTCAAGCCAGGCCCGTTGTGTTTGTGGACCTCCAAGGGCATTGTCTTATTGGAAGAGACAGCAGGCCAGAGCTATTGTCCTCTTCCTCTCCCTCCTGTGAGCTCTGCAGATCACAGGAGAATGCATACTTGAGGTTTTTAGATCAATCAATGTGTGTTCTGGCAGGGAAGGATGAGCGTGTCGGTCTGGGTCCGAGGCGACCTGGTAGGGCTGCTGCTGTCCCTGACCCTAATGCTGGGCTCCCCGAGTGTCCCTGCTGTCCCTGACCCTGATGCTGGCTCCCTGAGTGTCCCTGCTCACTCTGACCCTGATGGCTGGGCTCCCCGAGTGTCCCTGCTCACTCTGACCCTGATGGCTGGGCTCCCTGAGTGTCCCTGCTGTCCCTGACCCTGATGGCTGGGCTCCCCGAGTGTCCCTGCTCACCTCGCTCTGTCCCTGGTGGCTGGGCTCCCCGAGTGTCCCTGCTCCCTCTGACCCTGATGGCTGGGCTCCCTGAGTGTCCCTGCTGTCCCTGACCCTGATGGCTGGGCTCCCCGAGTGTCCCTGCCGCCGTTACTGTAGTACATTGAGCCACGTGCTCTCCCTGCTCCGTGGCGGAATGTTACTCTTTGAAAAACTGGTTTGAAAAACATGAGACACAGCCTCTATAAAGCCTCCTGAGAGCCCGGAAGAGGCAGGACTGCTGGACCGGGGCTCAGGAGAAGAGTGTGTCTCAATTCCTTGATCATCGAAGTTGAACCGTGTAGGTCGTGCCTAGGAGATACAGTGAGCATTAGGGCGGGGATACCGTAGGGACCCGAGGGCGTTCAGGTCGGTCACACCAGCTCTCTGGTTGGCGCTTGCCCTCTGTTTTACGCTATCTTGGTAAGAGCACTCAACATGAGCTCTGCCTGTAACAAACGGCCTTGGGGCCGCAGTGCAGGTCGTGTGTAAACCCCTGGGATCTCCACCTCCGTGCCTGCAGCTCTGTGCCTACTCGAACTCTCTATGCCAGCCTAGACCTGTTACTTCTGTCAGATCACCCCAGTAGTAACTATCACTTCTATTGGCGTTCTTTCAGACTGCCCCCCCAGGGCTAGCAGGTGTCACGGTGGCTAAGGTGCTGGACTTGCACTTGGCTGACCCCAGTTTGAGTCCGGACCCTGCAGCTAGAAACTCACATCAGGCATGTGTGCGTGCTCCCCCAAATCCTGAGAAGAGAATGGAGAAGGGATTGTGGTGTGGTCATCCCTGCGGGGGTGGTTTCTCACTTCACTTCTCTCTGTCTCTTTATGTGTCTCTCTGGTGAGTGCATGTACCCTATGGCAAAAAAACTTAAAAAGCGAAAATGCTTCCGCACCCCTGTCTTCCCAAGCTGCCAGCCTCTTAGCTGTGGCAGCCTGTGTTTTTGCCCTGACTTGCCAGGGTACCTGTCTCACCCCGGGCGTCCAGGGCAGAGGGCAGGCCTTCTTTACCTGCCAGAAGCCCACACTCTGTTGATGCCCTGTTGGTCAGTTGGAGCCAACAGAGTCATACAAGAGTGGACACAGATGTGAGCAGAATGCCCTTCCAGTCCTCCTATGTGACCTGGTCCCTGAGCAGGGGTCTGGGCAGAGGGGTCTGTGCAAGGCCCCTCCCGTGCCCGTGGGCTCAGGGTCTGGTCTGCACACACTTTATTTCTGCCTCCCTTGACTTTGAGGACTTGGTTCGGGATTTTCTTCCCTTATAAGTGTCAGCGTCTTCAGCTCATGGTGGGATGCCCTCACTGTTAGTTATCCTCTGACTTTTAGAATTCTGCCCCTTAACTATTGGATAATTGGAAACAGCTCACTGCAGACTGACAGGCAAATTTTTGTTAGATGGCTAGTAACTAACCACAGAGGGGACTCCCCTGCCTCTGTAGTTCTCACAGCCCCAGGTCACTGCAGACCCCAGCTCACAGCCCCAGGTCACAGCAGACCCCAACTCACAGCCCCAGGTTACTGCAGTCCCCAGCTCACGGCCCCAGGTCACCGCACACCCCACCTCACAGCCCCAGGTCACAGCCCAGGTCACAGCAGCCCCCAGCTCACAGCCTCAGGTCACAGCAGACCCCAACTCACAGCCCCAGGTCACAGCCCAGGTCACAGCAGACCCCAGGTCACAGCCCCAGGTCACAGCAGGCCCCAGCTCACAGCCCCAGGTCACAGCAGACCCCAACTCACAGCCCTAGGTCACTGCAGACCCCAGGTCACAGCCCCAGGTCACCGCAGACACCCTGACTGACCCTCTGTGGACTAAACAGAGCATGACCATTTCAGACACTAATTGGAAGAGCAGTAAGAGGGACCCACCCTGTTCTCTGCACGTGGGGACAGAATAACGAGGTGCCCGGTGCCCGATGGACCAGGCCTCTTTCCAGGGCGCACCTGGGTGCTGGGCTTCATTGTGCTTCCCTTGCGTTTGCTGGGCTGCTCCTCCGTACTGTCCGAGGGCCCCAGAAGGACGTGGGGGGGTTTCTCATGTGTGTAGATTTACACATGGCACTTCTACACGGAGGTGCGCATGTGTACTTACACGTGGTACTTAAACACGAAGGTGCACATGTGTACTTACACGTGGTACTTAAACACGGAGGTGCGCATGTGTACTTACACGTGGTACTTAAACCCGGAGGGGGGCATGTGTACTTACACGTGGCACTTAAACACGGAGGTGCGCATGTGTACTTACACGTGGTACTTAAACACGGAGGTGCGCATGTGTACTTACACGTGGCACTTCTACACAGAGGTGTGCATGCACATGTGCGCTCACACGTGGCACTTCTGTGTGGAGGTATGCATGTGCACTCACAGCACTTCTGTGCGGAGGTGCATGTGCACTCACAGCACTTCTGTGCGGAGGTGCATGTGTGCACTTACACATATTACCTATGTGCGGATGTGTGTATGCATGTGCACTCACAGCACTTCTGTGCGGAGGCACACATGTGTATTCACACAGTAATTCTCTGCGGAGGTGTGTGTGTGCGTGTGCACTCACACGTCACTTCTGTGCGGACGTGTGTATGTGCACTCACACAGCACTTGTCTGTGGAGGTGCGTGTGCACTCACACGTAGTACTCCCATGCGTTTGCTCTGTAGATGGCCTTCCTCTGTGGGTAGGCGCGTGAGAAGGCCTGTGTGTATGTGATGCTTGCATGCCCGTGTGTGCTCCGGGGTGGTAACACGAGTCGGGGGCTCCAGCGCACCCTGTCAGTATGTGTGCTCCTACAGCGGAAGCCAGCTTACTGAGGACAGTACCAAGAGGAGAGAGTGTGCGACCGCTGACCACTTTCGTATGTGCTCTCTTGGTAGATACGTAGCCTTTGACTTCCATAAGGAATGTAAGAAAATGAGATGGGATCGACTAAGTATTTTATTGGATCAAGTATCAGAAATGCAAGATGAATTAAGGTAAGCTGTGTTATTTCCTTATGGAGGTGAGGGAAGAAGTGTGTGTGTATACCGAGATCATATTAATTGTACACTGTTGAACTGGTTTACAGTGCAGCTACCTGGTTGTCAGTGTGTATTTTTTTTCTATTTTATTTTTTATTGGAAAAATGATATGGATGCTTTAGAAATAGATTTTAAGTACTATATGTAAGGGAACCGGCAGGTAGCATGGTGGTTGGGGTGTGGACTTACTCATAGTACTTCTACACGGCAGGGGGCTGGATACTCCATATGGCCAACGACAGTTCAAGTCCTGGACCTGGGTGGCTTACTTTCTCACTTTCTCTCTCTTTGGTCAAATTTAAATAATGAATGAATTCATCAAATAAAATAAATAATTCTAAAAGAAATTATTCAAGGCTAGGTGTTTTCGTTATTTTGGGTTTTTTTGTTTTTTTTTTTTTGAGAGATTTTTGCTATAGGGCGTGTGTGCTTACCAAAAAGACAGAGAGAAACAGGGACAGAAAGCGAGAAATCACCCCCAGAGAGACAGAAAGCGAGAAGTCACCCCCAGGGGGGAATGGCCATGCTGCAATCCCTTCTCCTCCATTCTCCTCTCAGGATCTTGGGCACGCACACACATGCACCCAGCGTGATTTTAAGCCACCGGGTCCGGAACTCAAACTACACTCGACTGCATGGGAGTCCAGCGACACAGCCATTACGCCAGCAGCTGGTCCCAGTGTTTCCGCATTTTTGTGGATTATCTTCTATACATTTGCAAATTCTTGAGTAATTGACCTTGGTTACTGCTGTTTTGTATTCGAGTGTATTGAGTAAGGTCTGTCACAGGTACTTTTCTTTTTAGCACCTCTGGTCTTGGTAATGATAGTGCTTGCCGGCATTTCTGTGTTCTCTTACGTCCTAGCGTGGTTGGAACCCAGTGCTGCCCTTCATGTTCATCTCTGGTTTGTCTCCGTCTCTTTCTGCTGTGAGAGCGAATGCTGTGTGACTCGCTCAGCAGCGCGGGTCTGTGTGCTCACTTCTGTTAAACCGTTTCCTCAGAACCCTCTTCAGAGTACGTTTAGTGGATGAGAAGGTCTGACTGCCTTGTGCTTTTACAGTGTTTACTGTATTTACCGTCTGGCTCACAGGGTTACTGTACTCCGGACAGACGGCAGCCTACCATTGGTCCTGGCCCTGCGTGACAGTTCCAAACCTGATAACCCAAATGCACCTCTTTATTCTAGTTCACAAAACTATAGTGAAACCTTTCTGATAGACATTTTGCCTAGAGCCATTTATTTGTATTTATTATTATTATTATTATTCAGTTTGACCAGTGAGACACAGAAGGAGTGAGTAAGCAAGCTGCCAGGCCCAGAACTCGAACCACAGTCGGCCATGAGGCAGTCCACGCTACCTGCTGGCCCTCATGTTGCCTAGTTTTTAAAGTGTATTTTATACATACTGAGTGCTCAGCTCTCGTTTTTCCATCTGTTTTGTGTTTTGGTGAGGTTTGTCACAAACGTGGGTAGTACAGGGACATCGACCCCCTCGCTATCGAGCTCTCAGCGGAGACTGGCCGGGTCGGGCTCACCCACCGGCTGCTGCCATAGGAGGGCACGAGACAGGAGAGTGGACACTCAATCCGTGTTCACTGCCGTTCACTGGGCCCGTGGGGACCATAGAGCGTCACCCGTGACTTTCAGATGATCATTGGAGGTTTTTTTTTTTCTACTCCTACCCAAACGTCTAGAAAATAATGGGAAAAAATAGACAAAGACAGTAACAGCCAGCGTGTTGTGTGGTGGCGAAGGTGGCTGGATCCCACATAACCCACCGCATGGTGCAGGTCCCGTAACCCGCAGCCCGAGAAGCACTCGTGTGCGTGCCAGCATGTACCTGGGCTCTTGAAAGAAGGGAGAAATGGAGAAGGGATAGCGCCATGGCCATCCCCACGGGGGTGCTTCCTTCTCGGGCCCTCTCCTGCAAGCACATGTCCTCTCCGGAAAAGAGACAGAGACAGAGAGCGAGAAATCACCCCCCCAGGGAGGATGGCCACACTGCAGTCCCTTCTCCTCCATTCTCAGGATTTTGGGCACGCGGTCCTAGTTTCAAACCGCTGGGATTGAGACTAGAACCATGGTCGACTATGCCGGAGTCCAGCGATGTAACCACATGCCATATGCTGGTCCCGCCTGTTTCACTTTCTTGCCACTTGCATTCACTGGGGTAGCATTTCACAGTTTTTCCGAGACTCTTCATTTGCATTTACAAGTTGGCTGACAGGTAAGAGATTTAACACTCAGCCCGTCTTGGCCTTCAGCTCGCCTTCCTCACTAAAGCGTAGCATTCCTTCCTCCCACTGGCACTCGCAGAGACCCTTGTGGGGCACCAGCTGGCCTCATTTCCGGTCCGTGTCTCGGGACAGGGAGGCCCGAGGAGAGAGCAGGGCCAGGCCGGTCGGAACACACACGTTTACCAGCCGAGCTTCTGTCTCGTGTGGGTGCGGCTTGTGGCACCCCAGAACAAACACACAATAATATCAAGAGGACTGACCACAGAGCACAGTCGTGGGAAATCGTAACATGTGGAACACCACAGTGTGACACGGGACACAGTGGCACATGCTGCTGGGACGCCCATGGGCTGAGCCACACGGGCTCGGCGTGAGAGCAGTGTGTGCACGGCACAGAGGTGGGGTGCAGTGAGACAGGTGGCAGCGTGGTGTGCGTGTGTCACCCACTTTCTAAAGAATAATTAAAAATGTTTCGATGTGGGACCAGCAGTTGGCATGATGGCTATGTTGCTGGACTCCCATGCAGTCGACCGTGGTTCAAGTCCCGGACCCGGTGGCTTAAACTCACGCTGGGTATGTGTGCGTGCATGCCCAAGATCCCGAGAAGAAAGTTGAAGAGAAGGGATTGTGGCATGGCCATCCCCCCTGGGGGGGATTCTCGCTTTCTCTCTGTCTCTCTCTCTCTGGCGAGCGCACGCACTCTATAGCAAAAACCTCTCCAAAAAAAAAAAAAAGTTTCAATGTGTAATAGCCAGCCCTTAGTCCAGAGGTCCTGGAAGTCCTGGTTGAGTTGATGTCAAGGCAAATATTCTTCATATTTTTTAAAAATACATATATATTTTTAAGAACTACTTATTTGATTTTATTTACTCATTTATTTTTAATTTGACAGAGAGAGAGAGACACAGAGAGAAAGAAAGAGAGGGGAAGTGAGAAAGCAAGCCACCAAATCCAGGAATAGAACCATGGTCGGCCATGTGGGAATGTCTAGCACCTTAACTACCACGCCACCTGCTGGTCCCCAAGACTGTTTTTAGCAAGCCTCCTGGAGGAGTCCAGTGCAGTTAGTCCAGCGGCCGTCAGAACCGCGCATGCCGGGACGCAGTTGGGGTAATGGTGCTGACTGCGGGGCCTCCGTCACCCCCACCTCTCACGTCTTGGGCATGGTGACCTCGTGTTCTGGCGGTGGTCTGGGCCAGGAGGCCGTCTTGCCTCCGCCGTTCTAGCCTGTGCTTGCTCTGGGATGATCACCCGTGCCTGAACGCGTGTCCCTGCCCGGCCTCTCAGTTTGCAGCTCCAGCCGCGTCCTGGGAATGTGAGAAGTGCCCTGAGTAGGCCGGTCCTGCTCTGCTGTGAGTGCTCATCCGACTCTGTGTCAGTTATTTTCTAGTGGACTCCGCAGGCAAGGTGGTGGCCAGCCAGGAGGGGGTGTTCCGCAGCAACTGCATGGACTGCCTGGACAGGACCAACGTGATCCAGAGCCTGTTGGCGCGGCGCTCCCTGCAGGCCCAGCTCCAGGTGTGGACCCTCGTGTTCTTTTAGTGAAAGCGAACAGAGCAAAACATGAGGTAGCGCCATCTCTAGAGGCCAGGAGCAAGCAGTCCCCTGGCCTGCCGGCCCTGCCGTTTCTGTGCCTGGCCCTTGCAGCCTCACCTTGTCCGCACGGCTTGGCGTGTGCGGCGTTCGCATGGCCATCTCCTCGACGTACGTCAGCGTAGCTCATGGCCGCCCTCTGCTCTGGCGTCCCAGGCGTGCCGGCCGCTGCATTTCTCTTACAGGCAGCTCCCCGAGAACGTCTGTGTGTGTCACTGGCCACTGGACGTTGAATTGCTGGGTTAAAGAGAATAAATGCCAGGAACCAGCAGTTAGCGTAATGGCTATGTCGCTGGACTCCCACGTAGTCGCACGCGGTTTGTGTCCCGGACCCGGTGGCTTAAAACTCACGCCGGGCGCGTGTGCGTGCGTGCCCAAGATCCCGAGAGGAGAATGGAGGAGAAGGGATTGCGGCGTGACCATCCCCCATGGGGGGTGATTTCTCGCTTTCTGTCTCTATGTCTCTCTCTGTCTGTCTAGCGAGCGCACGCGCCCTATAGCAAAAAAAACTCAAAAAAAAAAAAGGAGAGAGAGAATAAATGCCTACTTTCATGAGGCTCTTAGCGGTTTATGCCGACCGAGCAGTGAATAAGTGGGTGCATTTCACTGAACGGCCACCGTCGATAGTTTTATTTAAAGCACTTTTCCCCATTTCAGTAGTACAGAGTAGTGCCTCCAGGTTGTTCCCGGTTGCCTCTCTTTTATTACTAGCAAAGGATATATTTTTAAAAAGGGTTTTATTTATTTATTTTATTATTATTATTTTTTAATTTGGCCAGAGAGAGAAAGTGAGAAAGCAAGCTGCCAGGTCCGGGACTCAAACCACAGTCGACCATGTAGGCGTCCTGTGCCTTAACCATCACACCACCTGCTGGCCCCCGCTAGCAAAGGGTATTAACCTCAGCTGACGTAGCTCAGCTTACCGCCAGGATTTTGCCCATGAGAGGAATCCATAGGAATATTTCCTTCTGTGGGTGCTTGGGATCGAAAGTGCACGGAGCCCGGGTTCCCGAGTCAGCGGTATCACAGATGTTTGTGGGGGCAGGCACAAGGCACCCCGCGTGGTTCTCTGCCTCGGTGAGGAAGCCATCGCTCGACCTGGGAGGTGTGACCCCAGGAGAGGCTATGGAGGTAAAACGCCTCCTCTGGAGGACACTGTCCTCTCCTCCCGAGTGGTGCTCGGTGCTGTGCGGGTCCCTGCTGAAAACCATCAACTGTGTTGGGACTAGTTGGGGCCCAAGGCTAGTTAGCCAAGAACCTACCACTGATGACCAGGTTCGCGAATCTGCATTGTCTGTCAAGCGGGAAGAGCTGTTCTCACTGCTCAGTGCAGTTTTGACACTTGGCCAACTTCCCAAGTGCCATTGGCCAGGATTCTCTCCAGGAGGTACCCAGCCAGTGGGGGACCCTCGCTCATGCCTGTGCCCTGCAGGGGAGGGCAGCTCCCCATGTCTGCACGTGAGATAGTGGGGTGTCATCTGAGGGGAGCAGTGGAGAATGTGATGCTGAGAGAGTTCACGGTCTGAGATGGGGCCAAGGGCAGTGGACCCCCGCAAGAAGCAATGTTCAGGAGGCCCCACCCCTGAGGTTACGTGCACAGGGCTGAGTGTCGTGTGTGTATGCGGTTGGTGGGGAGGTGGCTGTACCCTTCCTCAGACTCTCCAAGGTCCCTGGGATAGAGTGGGGTTGGGGGGACTCGGCTGAGGAGTTGGAGATGTGAGGAGCGTGGAGGGAAGAGCCGCTGGGGTCCCGGGGCATGCCTGCCCCTCCTGCCCCTCTCTCTCAGTATAGTCCTGGGCTGCAGGACAGAGGAGCCCCTGGAGAGCTTGGCCGTCTCCCCTGGAGAGAGAGCAGCGCGCTGGGGCCCTCTGTGTGGAATACGTTTCTGGGCTGCAGCCAGCAGTCGGACCCGCGCGAGTGCCCTGGAGACTGTCCGGAGCCGTGGCGCCCCTTAGGGCCGCCTGCTCCCTCCTGAAGCCCCGCCTCCTGCTGCCCTTTATGGAAGAGTGGGTGTGGGTCTCATTTCAGAGACTCGGAGTTTTACACGTGGGACAGAAGATTGAAGAACAAGATGAATTTGAGAAGATTTACAAAAATGGTAGGTAATTTCTACAATAGAGCCAGAATCGCTCCAATTTTGTCGCTGGACTCCCATGTAGTGGACTGTGGTTCGATTCCCAGACTCGGTGGCCTAAACTCATGCTGGGCGCGTGTGCGTGCATGCCCAAGATCCCGAGAGGAGAATGGAGGAGAAGGGATTGCGGTGTGGCCATCCCCCCTGGGGGGTGATTTCTCGCTCTCTGTCTCTGGCGAGCACATGTGCCCTATAGCAAAACCCTCTCGGAAAAAAAAAGAAAAAAGAAGTTAATATTTTGGATTTAGCACTCTGATTGTCATTTTAATCATTGGCTGTTTTCCTTTTTCCCACAGCCTGGGCTGACAATGCAAATGCTTGTGCCAAGCAGTATGCGGGGACCGGTGCCTTGAAGACCGACTTCACCAGGTAAGCCAAGCTTCCAGCGTTCCACATCAGGGGCCGCGGGCGGGGCTGCCCGAGTCACCCAGCACGTTCTAAGCCGCAGCGGAATACCAGCGCCTGGCTCTTGCTTTGTGTGTCTCCTTGATAATATTTCAGAAGAGAATGCATGTTTCTTGGACCCACTAGTGATAGCTTCTGTGAAATGTGTCTATCTCCAGGGATGATTTTAAAACTCTTTGTAAGTTAATCTGCCGAGCACGTATGTACTGGCCATAAACTAGTGCAAGAGTTGAGTTTGCAAATCTGAACGTTGAAACTTAATCTCTTTGAACCAGAACTGGGAAGCGAACTCAGTGGGGCCTGGTAATGGATGGCTGGAACTCCCTGATACGGTATTACAAGAACAACTTCTCTGACGGCTTTAGGCAGGTGCGTCTGTGTGTGCCCGTGCGGGGCGGCGGCCGTGGTGTGTCACACCAGGCTGGAGGGCTCACAGCTGTCTGTTCTCCGTCCTAGGACTCCATCGACTTGTTTCTCGGGAACTATTCAGTGGACGAGTTAGAGTCTCATAGCCCTTTGAGTGTCCCGAGGGACTGGAAGTTCCTGGCCGTAAGAACCTTCGTGTTTCCCAGTTGTTCCCAGTGCTGTGCCTGAGGGTGTAGGCGGTGCTGACTCCCCTGGGTTTAGGGTGTTCTCTGCTGTTCTCTGGGACGCAGATACTCACGCTGCGTAGCCAGGGACAGAGGCAGGGAGTGAGCTGCTGGAGCGGCCGTGCCGTCTCCCGCCTGCTCTTGCACGTCTTTTTGTGGGGGAGCTCGAGCAGAGGGAGTGTGGAAGGTCTCTCATTGCAGGAAGACCTCAGTCTTGTGTTCGGGGCACTGCCCCCGATAAAACTAACATGGAAGGCAAAGTGCATTTCTGACCCCTGGCTTCCTCTTGACTCCTATGTTCACCAGGTGGGCCTCCTGGGGCCCGGTCCTGGGTCGAGCCCCCTGGAAAGGAAGGGCGGCCAGTTGTCCGGGCTGCGAGTGTGATGAGCTCTTAGCATCCGTAGTTCTCATCAGTGGGAGGCAGAAGCGTGCTTGCCCAGGCCTTAGGACCCGACTGGCCCGAAGGCTTGGGCAGTTGTGAGTGGACACCCACATGCTAGCATCCCCTTAGTGTGTGTGTGTGTGTGTGTGTGTGTGTGTGTGTGTGCGTGCGTGTGCATGCGTGTGTGTGTGAGAGAGAGAGCTTGCAGGAGAGCATTACTCATGCTCCCATCAAAGCGTGCCCCTGACTGCAGCCATGGACTGAACGGCTCCTAACTGACGTCTCTCTCCCGCCCTCCAGTTGCCCATCATCATGGTGGTCGCCTTCTCCATGTGCATCATCTGTCTGCTGATGGCCGGTAGGTCTGCCCGAGCTCGCGCTCACCCCTACTTCTTGTACGGCATTGGAGTTTCTGACAACTCAGTTCTTGCTATGTTAAATTTAGAAAGTGGAGGGTCAGCAGGCGGTGTGGTGGTTAAGGCGCTGCACTCCCACGTGGCCAGCTGCGATTTGGGTCCCAGACCTGGCAGCTTGAAACTCACGCCAGGCGCGTGTGCGTGCCCCAGATCCCGAGAGGAGAATGGAGGAGGAGGGGTTGCGGCGTGGCCATCCCCCCTGGGGGGTGATTTCCCACTTTCCCTCTCTGGGGAGTACAGATGCCTGATGGCAAAAACTTAAAAAAAAAAATTAACAAGTGGAGATGAGCATAGCCCTTGGATGTGACAGAAAGGAAACTAGACCTAGTCTGGCAGCTGGTTTTTAATGTTTTTTACTTGAGATTTTAAAAATATTTTTTCTTTTTACCTAAGTAATATGTAGCAATTACAGAAAGGGCAGCCAGGCCGGAAGGAAGAACATGCTGCTTATCGCTCTGCTTTCTAGAGAAGCGAAGCTCCCGTAACGTTGTGATGTCTGATGCTCCTCAGGGCGGTGTTTGCGGAAGTGCGATGTGCGCAGTCTCTGTCCGCCGGCAGCATGGGCACTTCCCGTCTGCCCGTCGTTAATGCTGCCCCGTAGTCCGCGTGTGGAGGTGTGGCCCATTCAGCCTCTGACTGCTGGACGCACGGCCTCCTGGAAGACACTCCTTAGTACATTCTCACACCTGCAGAGCGAGGTCGTCCGAGCCCTGTGCTGGCAAGGTCGTTGGTTTTCCTTCTGTGGCGGCCTCGCTGTCGCTCAGTTACCGAGCGCAGTGTCCACTGAGGACTGTGTGCTGCGGCGTGAGCCTGGACGTGGTCGCGTTGGGCGTCTGGTAGCAGCTTGGGCACGGTGGGAAGTAAGGCGCCTCCCATCCGCCTCTGCTGTGCCCCCGCCTGTCTGAGTCCCGCCCTCGAGGCCCCGCCTCTGTGCTCCCTCACAGCATCACCTCCCCTCTGGACTCCGCAGGCCTCTGTCCCCCTGCATGTCCTCTAGCACACGAGCACCTGGGTCAGTTTCTCAGGGGGTGCGTCGTGGGGTGCCTGGCCTCGCTGTGCGTCCCGGATGGCGGTGACGGGCACTCTTGTCCTCTCCGTGGATCGGCACCTTACCCTGGCAGATGTGGCGCTCGAGAACGCTCACCCACCACCGCAGCTCCCACCCCCAGCGCCGAGTCCGTCCGGGCTCGAACGTGCTGGAGAGGGAGCTGTCCCGTGGCTGTCCTCGTTGGCACCCCGTCTGTGAAGAGCCGGGCAGTCGATGCCTTTGTCTGTACAGATCGGATATTGGCTGTGGTCCTTTAAACACGTACGAAGCACTCCAGCTCGCGGCGGGGTGGCAGGTGGAGGGCACCGGGGTTGCACGTCCATAGCATGGCCGGGCTCGGGTCAGCTCTGTGGCAGCAGCAGAGTGGCCCAGCTGCACAGCCGCCCCGGTGGCTCACAGAGCAGGTCCTCGGCCTCTGTCTTCCCACGCTGAAGCACTCGCCACCCCCGGAGCCACGCCGCTGTGGACCTGGTTCTGTCGCCTCGTTTGCTGGTTTGGTGAAACCCACGCTTCTCGGAAGCCTCTGGAGGGGCCGCAGTGAAGACCCAGATCTTGCCTCTGTGGAGCGGGCGGCCCTCGGGGGTGGCCAGCGGAGCGGCCTCTCTGCCGCCTGGGGAGCGAGCACAGCCCTGCGGGGTGCAGCTCGGGGGTGTTCAGTCTGAGGAACTCGGTGCTGTGGACGGTACCCTCCCGTGTCTGTCAGCGTTGCGGTGACGGACTTGGTGTTCGTGTGGGCAGTGTCTCCGTGCCCGCGCTGGCTGCGGCATTGAGACTAGGAACCAGGCGCGGTGTGGCGCTGGCTCCCCTGGGAACCACGCTGGGTCGGAGGAGCGGCGCAAGTCTGTTCCCCCTGCCTGCTGCTGGCCTTGGCGAGCAGCTTCGGAAGGGGCAGCCCAGCACTGCCGCGTGGAGGTCACTGAAGCGCGTCTCTGGGTCTTGTCTCTGATATTCTGTGTGGCTCTCCTGCAGCATGTGTGTTTTGCAAAGAACACTTCTCATGTAGATGTTTCGGTAGTGACTGCTGTTTTCCTAGCTGGGACTGTGAGCAGGCTGCTGGTGACCGATTCTGTCACGGTCGATACACAGCGGAAAAGCTGACACTCTCTGTGCGAGACCCCGCAAGCGTCAGCCCAGTGTCTCGGAAGCGTGGTCTGTGGGGCAGTGTCTGCACCTTCTGGAAACATGTTAGGTGGCAGTCCGGGGCCTGGGCCACTGCCTCGCGGTCCAGCCCGTGCGGACCCCTGGCTGAGCTGTGTCAGAGGCTTCGTTTCCTGGGATGCGCTGCAACCTCATGACCCAGGGTGTGCTGTCGGCGGAGAGCGGGGTCTGGTGTCCACAGGTGACCGTCATTCACCAAGTCCGTCCCTTTCTTGTCTACAGGTGACACCTGGACAGAGACGCTGGCCTACGTGCTCTTCTGGGGAGTGGCCAGCATCGGGACGTTCTTTATCATTCTTTTCAACGGCAAGGATTTTGTCGACGCTCCCAGATTGGTCCAAAAAGAAAAGGTAGACTGAATCTGTGTCTGTGGAAAGCGGCTTGGCGTGGAGGACCCCGTCCCGCAGAGCTGGAGTCTTTACTGACCCGCTTTCCACGCTAGCCGGGCCCTGTGCAGCCTTTCTCCGAAGGCACCGTGCTCTGCGGGCGACGGCGTGGACTCGGTCTGCCTGACGGCCTTGCCGATCTGACTACTGGGGTGGGTACGTGTCTCATTCGAAGCTGTTCTGTGATTAAAATAGGACCCGAATTCAGCTTAAGGATGGAGGGGATCTCTTCACTGTCAATTGAATCAACTATTGCAGAGTAAGTAATATATTTGAAAAACCTAGCTTCTCTCATTATTTAAACAGTAAAATTATTTTTCTAGCTGTCTCATTGTCATGGTAGAAGCAGTCACTTAGCAAACACGCTGCTCTCATCTTTGGACTGCTCGTCAGAGTCTGAGGAGAGGCTTGCTCTGCTGAGTGTGTCAGGCGTCTCTCCCGGACCTCGAGCAGGACGAGCCGAGTCCGGGACACTCGGGGGCCGGGGCGGGTCTTGGAGCCCGCAGTGGCCACCCCACCGCTCAGCCCGCTTGGCCTGCCGCGGTGCGCCAGCAGCTCGATCGCCATGAGAAGGGTCAGATATACTTTATCTTTTGTAAAAGGTGTGAATGAGATCAAAGAGTGTAAAGTCTCTCGCTTGTGCTCAAGGTCCAAAGCCGCCTCTGGTCAGGGTGGGCCCCGGGGAGACGCCCCTGGCTGGCCGCCGCCTCCTCCAGGACACCACTCGACTTCTTCGGGGTCACGCCTCCAGGCCGGCCGGCCTCCAAGGACGCCTTGTGCTCAGTCGGCACTGCACTTGGGGACAGCAGCTGCTTTTCCACGCTCCCACTGTCAGGGTTTGGTCGGCCTTCAGTAAGTGTGTGGCAGATTCAGTGCTTCCGGGTAGTCCTAGCTCTCCAGACCAAGGACCAACTTAAACTTTCACTTATGCGAAACCTGGAAATGCGCTTCAGAAGCCATGCGTAGTCTAACTGTAAGTCAGATTGTATATTCAAATTGTCATTATGCAGTTGAAATTAGGCCTTCCGTGAGGTAGTATAATTGACACTATTCTAAAACAAACACTGCTACGATGTTTCGGTGTGTGCTTAAAAATACGTACAGTCTTCCCAATAGTAGCCTCTTATGTTGTCCTTAAATATTTCTAAAAGCGCCTTTAATTTCAACATTACCTTTTTTCAACATTATTTTTTATATAATAAGAGTTGTTGCTTTTAAAAACCCTAAAGCAAACAATAGCTGGAAAACGCTCCTTAGCTTAAGATCTGTCATTAACCCCCCAGTAGGGTCAGGGAAGGGCTGCCTGTCCTTAACTTGTAAATAAGCATAACTCGTTCCAAAGATGGCTGTCGAGGCTGAGCTCCTGCCCGCGTCCTGCGCGGTTCCAGTGCGCGAGGGCTTCCCGGCAGGGCCTTGGGTCTCTGCGGCAAGGCCACACCTGGCCTGCGGCGTGGTGCCCCGCAGGGGCGGGCCTGCCGCTGCGTCTGCTCCTGAGTTGTCACGGTTTCAAGAATCTGAATGATTTTATTTCTGAATTCATGTACTGTACATTCAGAAGTAGAAATAAAATGTCATATTCTTTTCTAACTACTGTCGGTGTGGTCGCGTCCTTCATCGGGAACGGCGCTGGGCATCGTTGTTCCGAGTCCGACACGTCGCGCAAAGCGGAGTGTGGTTATTGCTGAAGGTTAGCCCGCCGAGGTAAGGAGCAGGCCGTGGCCCGGAACCCTGCCTGCCAGGGACGCTGCAGACGCCGTCTGTGTCTACGGTTAAGGTGGTGTCCATGAGCAGGTATCCCCACCTCCGCCTTGTCATTGCTTTTAAAAATGCCAGATGTCTCCAAGCTGACTAGGCAAGTGGGAAAGTATCGGCGTTAGTATCCAAGCCACAGGCGGATACCAGTGGGCGGGGAGGACGATGAAACGGCGCGAGGCGCACAGAGGCCTCCTGTGGGAACTGAGAACATGCCTTAGAAACGGCCTCTCTGTGTGTGCGTGTGTGTAAGGTTTTGCCATAGGGTGTGTGAGAGAGACGGGAAAGTGTGAAATTGCCCTCCCCACCCCCAGCGAGGATGGTCGCACCACGTCCTTCGCCGCCGTTCTTGGAATTCCAGGCGCACACAGGTACCCAGCATGATTTCAAGCCGCGTGGGAGTCTAGCACCTTGCACACTACACCGCCTGCTGGTGTTTTCAAAACCAGCTGTGTTTACATTTCAGGGAAATCTTACGTCAAGAGAGGTCTTTCTAAAAAATTTATTAAGTTTGCAGTAGGGCATATGCACTCACTGTAGAGAGATGGGGGAGGGGTGGGAAAGCAAGCCACCGAGTCTGGGACTCGAACCCTCATTGGCCATGTGGGAGACCAGTGCCTCCTATTGACAGAGGTATTTAACTGCAACCAGTAAATGACGATCTGAACTGTAGCGAGACCTGCTGAAGGCTGGCTTAGGGTGGTAACTGGTAGAAATGCCAGGCCTTTCCCGACTCAGTTCCTGAGCTCCGAGGCTGGGGGCTGGGTGAAAAAAAAACGCAGCAGAGAGGCCTCCGGAGACACGCTCTGGCCGCAGTGTCACTGGGGACGGAGTGCCTATTCTTTCCAGCCGTGGACAGGAGGGGGACAAACGTGGACAGATGTCAGAACAGCCACTCTGGCGCAGCCTAAGGAACAGCAAGGCTTTTTTAAAAGAAGAGTTTTGTGGGACTCCCATGTAGTCAACTGCGGTTCATGTCCCGGACTTGGTGGCTTAAAACCCACACCGGGCGCGTGTGCATGCGTGACCAAGATCCCGAGAGGAGAATGGAGGAGAAGGGATTGCAGTGTGGCCATCCCCTCTGGGAGGTGGTTTCTCGCTTTCTGTCTCTATGTCTTTCTCTGTCTGGCGAGCGCACGCGCCCTATAGTGAAAAACCT